TTACATTGCAGCGTGTTGATAATGTATCGCTATTTCATCAGTCGTGATAATTGTGATTTAAGAAAACAAAGCATATAAAATGTAAAGAGAAGAAAATTTATAGTAAAAATCTATATAGATAAAGCCTTATAAGCGGGTAGTAAACAAATTAAATTACATAATAAACTAAAATTGAAGTTGTTTAAAGAAAAAAATATTGTTATTTTATAGTATACGGATTTTTATGTAACAACTATACATATTAAGCAATCGAAACAGCTTAGAAAGCAAGCTGCTTAACTGCTAAAATAGTTGAATAGTTACAAAAGTATTAAATCTTGAGTATTTTATATATTTGCCTGAGCATGATTTACGTTAAATTTATTCGAAATTTATATTCTTAGTTCTTATGTCATAATCACATAATGATCGCATAACGGTCCATAATATCACCTTAATGCTATCGGGTAACGTTTCCATTACATTGTTCTGACACCTAATGTTTTTGACACTATCACGATTTCCAACAGTCACGAACAGCCACGCCTCAGTCGCGTCTAAGGCTTTAGTGGGTTAATGAAGAATGGATTACTTTTTACTTGCGAGATTCGTTGATAGCATTTTAATATGTATTTCATATTATATAAAAAAAACATCTATTTAAAAGAGCAACACACAAGTTTCTTGTTCATTCTTCTTGTAATGAATCTGCGTTGCGAATGAGTAGAATCATAAATATGAGTATTCAAAAGAGCTTGTATTGAGTTTATTTGAATAAAGATTTAAGACGAAACTTTACTATAGTAAAGATAGATAAGTAAATTTCATAGAAGATCTTCGATTATATATTATAGAAATATAAAATTCAATATATTCCGTTATCAAATATCCGTAAGTCTCAGAAAATCCTAATGGATATGTCAAGTTACGTACAATTTTAACTGAAAAAAAAAAACTACTTGTCTGAAAATGGAGACTCAAATAATTATTATAGAATTTTCATATATACAACACATAGTATAGACATTTCATTCAAGTAAATAATATTTAATCAAGACAATAATTGCTAGTACCTACAGCTAGTTTATTTGTAAATGGGAAACTAATTTTCAATATGCATTCTCGTAGCTAAGCGAAGTATATTACGAGCACCGATCATTTCTATATGCATTAGTTATTGTTGTTATACATAGTATAACAACAATAAATATGTTATATGTATATATTATGTTATCTGTGGTTCTACCAACAACAAATAATTCAGTTCTTTTAAAAAATGGATTAGTTCTAATATATAAAACATTGAATTAAAATGTTAGTAAGTCTATAAATCCTCCGATTATAATATTTTCGTATAAAACGGTAAATACATTAAAGTTAAGATATAATTGAAAGGTTATGAACTTCTAAGTATACCTATCTATTATTCTCCAAATTCTGAGATGCTAATTAATTGCAACATTTTAAAAGGTTGGCTCCTAAATGCTATTTTTATTAATTAAATTTAAAGATCAAGGACCATGTTTATGTCCAAGTCATTATTTAACTTGAAATGTACATTAATGAAGATAATATAACTAAATTAGAAGATACCATTGTAATAAAGATCCATACATAAACTTGAAATAGACGGCTTTAGTCTCTTGAATCTAGACTTTAGAAACCGCCGAGATCTAAACTTTCTTCAAACTAAACAATCACTGCTGATGGATTAAGTGCAACTGTTTCAAACAAATCTCGTTTGAAACAGATTAAACTTAACAGTACAGATTATGTGTTTAGCATTTGACAGTATCTGTTACAATTGAAATTACTCCATATGTAACTAAAACTATCAAAAAGCATAATTATACATATTACTATTAAACTTTTACGCAATCTGTTCATCCTATAATAAGGATTTTATAAGAAATAATAGGTAAATAGTAACTTTTATTCTTCCTTCTTTAATTCTTAAGAAACATACCAGAAATACATAAAACAAACGACTAGTATTATATATCTACTATATATTTCATCTCGCATTACGAACTCAAATAAAACAACTGGTAATAGATCTTCAACTATGTTAATATTCTGCAGTTCAGTTTTCAAATTTACCCTTATATTATATAATTTATCTTATTTGCTCTTACCGTAGATTGAACGTTAGTTTTGGAGGCACCATTAGATTACTTTTCCTTCATAGTTCTCTAATATTTTCATTACCATATAAACCTAACTAGATACTGAAATAATATATAAAAACAGGAACATTATAAAACAATAATCTTACTACTTATCTTTGGATTACTTAAAAATAATATGTCAAAATTAAAAAATATAAGACAGACAAATATTCAGAGAAAAATAATATACTCCGGAACTTACAACTATACAAGAACCTATAACTACACAAGATCATAAGATCATCGGAAAGCAAGGCATAGCATTACCGGATTTTTTTAGTCAGGCCTCTTGACTTAAGTAGGACATTGACCTCTAAAAACATGAAAGTTGCGAACCTAACGAAGAATTTACAGAAAAAATAAGAACTTTGGGGTAAACGCCTCTTAAAAAAAGAGTCATAAGGGTCCCAACATCCGAAAAAGCGTGAGGGACCTGTAACAAGCTTGACATTTAATTTGGCTTAAAAATCATTCTCGAATCTGAAAACGTCTGTGAAGCTGTGTACGGTAATTTTATTATAATATGGTAATAATTATGTTTCCATAAATAACTAAATCGCAGTTCATGGTACTTCATAATTACTGCATTAAATTGTAATTTGAAATCGAGCGGCTCAGTTGATTATAATAAAGTAATTATGGATGTTAGATAAGTTTATTCGGTCGATAATTAATGTTTAGGACCTTTTTGTATGGGTTATGACATTTAATCATTGATTACAGAATAGCGTGACTTTATGAGGGGGTCTATAATGATGTTTTGCCTCGATTAACAAAGACTCTACTGACCCCGAGTTTGTTTCTGCCAACAGCACATATACATGTAAACTCCAAGCTGTATTTTTATTTAAGTTTGAAACCCATTAAACTACTCTGAGAGTTGACTTTAAATCTTCTAACCTGAATACGTTAACCCACATCTAGAGGTTGAAAAATTTACGACTTAGCCGGAACTTTTTCATGCTACTTTCAAAATATATTTTTTCTCCTTTCATTGTAATTTTTTAGAGACTTTTACTAAATTCTATCCCTAATTTCTACCTATAGATACTCTGTACAAACAGAATAATATCGATACATAGTAGATCTTTTGAATAAATAAAAACAATAAGAATTTCATAAAACTTTTAAAGTGTCAAACGACAAGACAAATATGATATATAACTATTGTAAAATTATTATTATAGGTATTTAACTTTTTCAATTGAATCGTATTATTCAGATTAGATTCAGATAAAGTCGTTTAGTACAACAAAAGGTTCTGGTAATCCTGTTCAAGCACATGTGAATAAAAAAGTTGGCTTGTTTTTGTAGGATCAGTTAAAGAGAAACCTAAAGTAAGTACAAGAATGTTTCCACTTATGTATAAACAAGCATGAAGGCATATAAAATTAGGATTTATAAAAATTAATAAAATCGTATTAGGTATGTAAGCATGCGAACCACATAGTCCGTATGTCTATAACATTTTATATAAGTAGTTATTTCATAAGGTGGAATCTAAAATTATAATTCTAATGCTTTGTATTTTGACGGTAAGTTCCTTTTATGTAACCGAAATAGTAAACAAACTTATTAGTTAGCCCAACTTATCGTTTTTATATATTTTTTTATTTATTAATAGCACTGGACTGGAATTCACACAGCGCATATAGCCTGCTTAGCTTGGGACAAGATAACTGAGCCGGCAGATTTTTTGTCATTATAGAAAAAATATAGAAAAAGCGAAATCCACATTATCATTCAGAAACCGAATGAAAAATATAATAATAATAATAATAAATACTCTTTGTTGTGCATAAATAAAATATTTGCTTTAACTTAACATAACAATATGCCAACAAAAGGCGGTCTTATCGCTCAAAACAATCTCTTACAGCCAACCTTATATGAAGAATACAAGTATGTAATATTATCTTATCTGTGATACAAGTGAAAATCTTATGAAAACATTCATCAAATAATATTCAGTTATTATAGACAAGCACATCCAGCGCTTATTCAGCAGATGGTGCGCTTTTCAAGTAATTTGAACCTTAACAAGGACGTCTCTGACCGCTATGCTGACATTTTCAACCTAAGTTATTCCTGACAAGCCCCAGAGATGGTATCTACAACCCTATTTTAATATTATGCGTAGATATAAGAACCTATTGACTGCATTGTAAATATTTTCATATTTGGAATCATATTATTCCCGACTATTAATGTTGTCCTGATCACCCAACCACATGGTTTACGCCACTCCACACCCCCTCCCTCCTCATTTCTGTAACTTATTGAATCTTTATATTTTAAATCAATCTGTGGTAAACTTGCAACCATCTTGTGGATTAATTAGATTAGTTACCAATTTTAGTCATTAAAAATAAAGTAAATTTTAAATTATTTAATGCCAATGGGTCTTTATATCCATTATTTAATTTGTAATAATGTAATCGTTCATCGGCCTGCACGTCGGGCACCAGTACCGGATGATAAGATAAATATGAGGTCAGGTTAGTTAGCCTACCGTAACAAATTCATTAGGAACTTATCACGATGATTTCCAGGAAAAACTAGGCGGAGGTCAACCTGACAAGTACTTTGCTAGCAATGAGTACATTAATGAACATTACTAACAATCCCATTCGACGTATGTCGTAGAACGTATGTAGTAGGACTAGAATTTGTCTCGATGTTAAAACACATTATACTATCATCCTCTTTCCCATAATAGGTAGTAGAGTTAATATTTTTACGTTGACCTTATGTGTTTCACCTCTCGTCTCTTACGTCCCCTGGGAATTAAAGAAATAATTTATATTGACAATAATATAATATTATACAATTTTAATGCATCAATATGTTACTTCAAATGTCATAATCATTATCATCGTCATGCAGGTTGTCATTTATGCCTTGTAGAAGGGTTGAATTGGGGGGTAACCATTCACAGCTCGTATGGTGAGAGGAGCATACCTGTAATAATAAAAATGTATTACTACGAAGTTCTGACGGTCTCAGTAGTTTAACGGTTTAGCATACCGCTTTAATTCTAATGATCACCGGTTCGATTCTCGTGCGATACAATATTTGTAATGTGCTTGATTCATTGCATGTATTGGTCTGAGAGTTTTATGTGCATATAGTAAATACAAAAAAAAACTTTTATGAGTTGGTTAGTAGTGTGAATAAAGTAATGATAATTATGCTAGGTTAGTATTATTATAATTATATGACACGAGGTATTTTGTTTTACTTTTTCATGTAACTGGAATAGTTACATGATAAATTAAAACAAAATATATAAGAGCTATTGATTAATATTATCTATTTTTTATTCTAATGTCGAAAATATATTTGTTTTGTTCTTAATATAAAACTACAGTACATAAAACTTCTAATAATAAAGTTACTAATTTCGACATAATATAAAAATATAAGTTAAATAGAAAAATACCTCTTGTATACAATTATAACAGAATCATAAGAATGGAAATGTCTTTACAGAATACTACTGGAAATAAACTACAAGACCCAAATCAATGTAGATGATAATAAAATCTTTAGAATCGAAAAGTCTTTACAGAGTTCTATTAGAAATATTACTAAACCCAAATAAATCTAATTTATGTATATTTTGAACAAACAGACAGATTTATTAATAGAACCGAAACTTCTAAAACCATGGATTTTAATCCGAGTCCGTTTTAACCCAACAGTAACCAATAACAAAAGTCACCACAAGAGAAGATATCCCGAAAATTACGGAAATATAAATTAAATGTTAAACGAGGGCAAAGCGGCTTTAAATGAAAGCATTCAAAATTATTCCACTGACAGAAATAGACTTTGTATAAAGTCGTCTGCGTGAATATCATTTAATTTTTTATACTTTTTCAATATTACGTTTACTTATTCATTAGTTGCTCTTAAAATTAAGAAAATCAACTTTTATTTAGTATAATATTATTGGATTCCCGATATTTTAGCCGTGTACAACCGCTATTATGACGGAGTAAAACGTAGTAAGATCCCGTGATTTTCTTCATTTTTTTAGAGTTAGAAAGCATCACATCCTCCGGTAAGGCAAACGTATGAAGGAGTAACGAGATGACAGTTGCTACTCACATCAGGTATATCTTCGTTTGTTCGCAATTACAGTTTAGTAATAAAACATTAATTCACTCAAAACTTTACCTTAATAAACACCGCATAAGATATTAACTTACTTTGCACCGACAGTCATCTGCAGCTATATAATGAAAATTTTCCGTTCCTGGAACAACGTCTGCATCGCAGTTGCGCAGACGTACCATCACCGGTCGGCGGGTGCCGTAAACGCATACTGGATGATGCGACTTCTTGAAAGGAAACTCCCAATCTGAAATCTGTACGTACAGTCAAGACATCTCGTTATCATATTTTAATTATTAGACCTTCAATCTAATGCATGCCAGCAATAAGTTGTCAGTATTATCTAAAAATGTCGTGGTAATAAATAAAACACAAACAACTATAGTTTACAAAATTAAAAAAATAGGTTTTTTTTTATTTGAAATCAACAAATTTTTAATTAACCTTTTTTAAAAATCTTTCATGTCTATTCTCGTCTCTTACTCGTAATCTAAATATATTAATAACGAACAACGAGAACTATATTTAGCTCTGGTTCTATTTATGGGCGAGGTTATGCGGTGAAATTATAGCATAACATATCCGAGGGCTAGGCCTAACTTATTCGAATCCTCCGAAATGGCAACCATGGTAATAGTACCATGGTTGCCATTTCGGAGGCATTGTGTAATATTATCATTTATTAGTGCTGTTTATTAATAACGACGACGCCGCCGACGGTTAGGTACCACTTACCATGAAATTATACTGTCAGCTTATGTAGCATTCTAATATCTATATAAAAAAAAATTGTTATGAAAATTATAGACAACGATACGCCTACAATAATTGTGCCCATGCGAAGCCAGGGCGGCATCGCTAGTATAAGATATAAATATTTTTCCAATATTAATCAGTAATATATTCGTATTTTAATTAACGAGTTCCAAACTAGGACTAAACAAAGAAAAGTTTTGTTTTAATTACCGCCATGTAAAAGTCTATATAGAATCTCTTAACACCACATCTTTAAATGCTTATTAATTAATCAAATTTCATAATGTTCAACGCCTACAGTGTAGATAGATATAATTTATTTATAAACTTCTCCCTGTAATATAAAACGGCGGTAAAAAACAGGGCTTAAAACGAGTCCATTAGAAAAGTGAATAAGTGTGTGTCGAGCCTTATATAATGAGTTCTGTAGGTATTTGTCATTTTTTATAACTATATTAAGGGGTTAACTTATCACCTATGACTTATGTTTTCAAAACTAATATGACTCGTAGTGTTTTAATATAATTCAAATTATTTTGGGTTTGTACATTTATATGCAAATAAATAAATTTAATATTATTAAAAATAAGTACTTCAATACATTATACAACTTTGTATATTAAAAAAATCAACGCCTCCTGTCACAGAGTGTACGGGATACGTCGTAGCACAATATTGATTGTAGACAATATTCTAGGTATCTTTCTTTTCAGATCATTTTACCGAATTTCCATCAAAGGACATAGGTTCATATTTCTGATAATTATATTAAACTGTATCTTGTGAATAAGTCACGCATTACTTTTTATATCTCTGTCAATTGTTAATCAAATTCGATATATTTTACACTTGTTTGTCAATAATAGTTTCCTGATCAAAATTTTATATACATTTTTCTACCAAAAAAACGAATACAATAATTATCATGTCCTACTATGAGATTATTATACTGATCTCTTATACTTTTAATAAGTTTATTGTGCTGATTTTGTATATTATAAAATAACATACATATTATAAAATAATGCCACTCAAAACGTACCTTACAGGTTTTTATGTTGATTAATCTATCAAAGGAATAATTTCTGAGGCAGGTTTAGGTGTGATAAATTCAGTAAGGTTTTGTATTAAGTGCAATTGAAATTCCAGTATTTGGGGCGGAACGCTGGTAATCTATATGACTGATTATTTTATATAAGAGACCCTCTCGTAATTGACTAAGAATACTAGTTTTGTAGCGTGCTTCTGCTATGAATTACCAGCAGTCTTACAGTTCAAGGTCTACAATGCGTACGTGTCACTTAAGAGGGCACTTCTCGTTAGACTGACACCGTCTAAATGTAATTAAACCGAAGGACTACGGCAGGCTCGCGTGTCAATTATATTTGATGAAATATAGCCACATTTGTGATCAATACAAATTTTAAATTCGTCATTATAATTACATAAATAGAAAAACAGATCGGGCGTAAAAGTATATGGAATATTGGATTGGAATTAAACATTCCTTTTTATACCACAATAAAAAAACATATAGATTAATGTAAGTAACTATTTAGCTTAGGTCAGTATTATTGAACTCGAGTTGGTATGTTTTCAAATATATATTTTTTTAATTCAAACTTAGTTATCAAAAATATAATAATTTTAATACAACAAATATAAAAAAGGGAAATCTGAGTGAAGAAGGAAATTCTCTATTTTCCCGCGCAAACCACTATCGCAAATCATTAAAATTCGAGCTGCGAGCCACTATTCGTAGCTGTATGTTGTGTCTGTATTTACAGTGTAAATTCAAACCTAAGCAAAACAAACACGATTGCCTGCTCATAGAAAAATGTAATATCTCGTTCGGAAAGTCCAACCTGAGCAATTAAAACTACTAAAAATTTCTTGAAATTGCATAATTAATTTTAATCAAAACCACAGCCTTACCTATTTTCTTTTAAAAAAAATCTGTCAATGATAAAATTAACAGCGAACTCTAAAATTGGATAAGGCATAGATCTCAGTTGCCGTTTCTATTTTTATTCTACAAATCGATGGTTGGATGTTAGAATGGTTTATATTTCAAGAAAACTAATAAGTATCCTGTTTTATTTTGAATACAAAATACTGTTGACTTGTTGTGGAGACTAATAACACAATATCTAGAGAGAAAATTCATGATTGTCTCTAAACTAAATACATTTATTTTGTTTCCATTTAGTACGAATCCCTAAAAAGAGGTGTGTGCTGCCCTCAAGTTGAATTCCAGCTAACTTTTTATTACTTTTTGTGGAATAATGTTCTGTTAAACTTCTTATCTGTTTTTATTTTTTCAGAGGATACTATCAATCTTGCTTACGTATTTGTGTTTGTGTTACTTTCAAAGAATACCTACAGAATTTATATAAACACAAAGTGTTTTTGACAAAATACATATTTAGTGTCGATATCTTTATATTAAAGAAGATACTTTGAGGCACAAAGTAACAACTTTCAATTGTGACAACTTGGTATGATTGGCAATAAATCTTGCATATTGGGAAAGACTTAACAACATCCATTTATAATGGGTGAAAATATCACAAACTCCCACACAAATGGAATCGTATTGAGAGCTCTTTTTAAGTGTTAATATCTTTGCAATATTCACTTGTTCGTACACGTAAAAGTTGAATCACCGTTCGAGTATACGCCAACATAGTAAATAAATTATTTGATTTCAAATTGTTTCAGATGCGTACCTATATTACTTTATAAAATTGGTAAAAGCAGATATATTTAAATATGTACTGCTTTAGGCTTATAGTAGTAAGTAAGATAGTTAATATTTTAAATTAATTAAAAGAATAGTAAAAACCATTGTTTAAGTGCTTGAAGTGATAAGTTACCAATGCATGCTTTTACTGTTGTGCACTTAGGCACTAAGCTAAATAACCCACGTAGACCTCCGTTCCGTTGGGATGTATGTACCTTCTACGTACGACTCGTATGAGACAAATTAGACTTACCTACTACTACTTCCTTAATACTACTTATTTCAACTTAATTATACCAAGGGAGACTTTGTGCAGAGTTCTCTGCGTGGATACTTATGTCTCTCCTATTTCTGGCGCTAAGTATATTACTTTGGTACCCTTTTGTAGAGTGTAATTGTGTGGTATGAAATCACCACAGTTATTGACAGATAAACTTCTTTATATATGTATTTGATTTTGGTATACATACCTTTTGACAACGGTTATCACTTTCCATCTGATGTATTACCAATATATAAAAAACTTACTTCTCTAGAGTCGCATCTTCCTCCACAAGAATGCACCTTGACCCTGTCCCAGCATCTACGACCCTTATCGTCTGTCTGTTCTGCTCGAGCTAAACTGACTCGTTTGGTACATGTCTCCATTGGTAAAACAGCGTCCAGGGTCCACAGAGTTACGGTAAATAGCAGCCAATTAATAGGTTTACAAAATTGAACCATAATCTCTATAGTTGAATCGGTGTCTGAAAAATATACTACATCATTTTATATATTTGATATTCTAATAAATATATTAAAAAATACTGCCCAATCCTAAATGCATTTCTGAATACGAAACAAAGGGTTTTAAAGGTTGTTTGTTACAGTAGAGCACTTTGGTCCCCTCACTTTCCTGCCTACCCCAGGCAGGGAAATGAGAGTAAGGTACCTGCCGTGAGTTCACAAAGACAATCAATCAAAAAACATATATATTAAACATTCGTTCCTATAAGTTTTTATTTGAAACGTGCTATAAGAATATGTCGCAATGTACGCTTAAATAAATAAAAAGGGACACCCTTTCATTTATTTAAGGGGATCTTAAAACCCTCTGACCTATCCTGGATTAAATGAGACCGTACATTAGTGGTGTTATTTTACTTTGTAATTTATAAATCGTAGTCGTAATTTTCGTCTTTTTTTCTTACGTATAGCTGACGCCATATAGTTTAATACTTCATTTACATTGTGTTTACTATTAAGAATTTTATTATATCTTTTTGTATGATAAAAAAATACTAATAAAAAATTTTGACCGACAACAACACAGTGTAATATGCAAAAGCAAACAATAATCTAGTGATTAAGAACTTTCGATGCCTGCAAGTTTTACTCCTGTACGAAACATACTGACATAAATGAATTCTTGATAAGTATTATTTATGTATTTACTAACCAATAGATTGCTAGAATTTATATAGCCTAGCCATGGAGTACAAGCTCTGCTTACTTTGAGAACACATGTAATTACCATAACTGTCTGTGAGTTTTCCAGTTGTTGTTTATTTATTATAATTACTGCTCTAATAATAATAATCTTATTATACATATGTATGTATATAATAGATATGAAATTGTATTACATGTTAGGCAGGATTTATTTTAAGCCCACAGCAATATAAGTTTTAATTTATGCAAATACGTACCTGCCTTTAATTTCACGAAGTTAAATAGACACCTGAAACAATTTCACATATAATTATTTATCTGTATTTATTTATAGATATGTAGATATTAATAAAGAATGCTATTACTGAATAAATAAATATGTATGATGAGAATAAAATAAAAATGTATTACTTTTTTTAGTTTTAAATACCTTTTCCATAGATACTACAGATAACAGCCTTAAGTGCGTTGTAGTAAACTAATAGTTGTAATTGTAGTATAAGTGTACTAGTCATTAAAACTATTTTTTTTTATTTTCATAAAATTATAATATTTGTATGTAATAGGTATATTACATTATGTATAAAAAAAAGACTTTTATGTTAAACCTATAATTCTGTATACCTCAGACGTTTCTTCAAAATATGAGCAATTACCTAAGCTACTACTTTAGGTAATTCCAACGAAAGCACTCTCAACCGACTTTCCTGATCACTTCTATCCCGATATATATATATCAGCTTACATTGTTACCTATCATTGACCCTCTCGGCATATCTCAAACTTAACATCTCTAGTAAGGAAATTTTGCCAATTAATGTATTCTATTATACTTAAATTGGTATAGAAGCTTACGGCCCAACTGATCGTAATCTGTAATCATCGCCAATATACATGAACACCACTAGGCATATCCCGTTGTCATTTATCATACCACTCGTGTGTTGTCATTCTAGAGGACTAAGATGCTCTCTTATACTATAATTTCACTGCCAATTCACTACCTACAATACAACTGGAAAACAGTGTGGCAAGACAGGTAGGCATGCAAAATAACTTTTTACAAAGTCTAACTCGGGTAATTAATACTGTGTTAATACGAAACCACTGCATAATGCGAATTTCTGCACAATAAGAAACTATTAACCTATTATCACTACGCTAGTTAGGCAACTTTTTCGGTCCTTTTTTAGCACTGGTGTTTTATGACTGGTTTTCGTAGATGCCTCCTACTACATCCTCGGAATGAAAGCGTAGAAACGTTATTCTTGTATATGTATTTTTACTCTATCTTCACAGAGAATCTCTTTCATTATAATCTTAAGCTTAATAATATTATAAACGCTAAAGTTTATAAGTATGGATGTTTCTTACTCTTTTACGTAAAAACTACTGAACGGATTTTAATGAAACTTTACACTAATATAGCTTATGCATCAGAATAACTTGTAGAATCACAACAGAATAACACAATTTATTAAAATTTATGTAGTGAAATTTAACGCAGGTGAAACCGCGGGCACAGCTCAGTATATTACTCACAGTACTCAGTATATTTCAATATGACTGAATATGTATCATCGATTAAAATAACTTAATTCTAATAGATTACAGAGTACTTATCTACATACATTGTTTTTGACGTTAGAAATTATTTTTTTAATTCTTTTTAAAATCAAGTTAATCATAGTATATAATAAATACCCTATCAACTTTACTCATATTCTTTATAATTTACATTTAATTTAGTTTTTGAAATCTCATAGACCGCTACAGATGGTACTAGTAGAGGTACCTATTCTGAAAAGAGAGCTGATATATTTTAATACATATAATTAATTTACAGAAATAACCAATTATATACCTCTACATATTCAACGCAAAATATGCACACTTTTATGTATTCACCGATACAAAGTGAATCCGAGGCGTGTGTTAATGTTTTGTATTCGTTTCAAATTACCTCTTTTTAGAAATACACGATAAGTGCTAAATTAAATTTCAGATAAACAATACCTGCCTCATGGTAGACTCGAAATAATATTATGCTCGTAACATTTTTAAGATGACAGTTACAAATTAACCCTACACTAATCAAATTCGAAACTTTTCTCATTAAAACGATAGCACTGTAAACGAAGAACTGGCTTTTTCCGGCATCGCCAGCCGGAACCCTTTTCAGAAATATTTTCAAACAACAAATTAGTTGCTGCTTTCATTCCTTCATATAGCAATACAGTGACTATGGATGTGGCTATGGGAATTATAACACCATCATATTCTTCTAAACTAAAAAGCAATTTTGTTTTATATTAAATAAACTAAATTAGTTTTGTACTCTCTTTCACAAAGCTTAAATCAGAAAATGGCAGGCATTGTATTTAAAAATAATAAAGTATTCAGACCACGAAAATACCAGCTTTAATTTTATTTATAATTATAACATAGATACACTGTAAATCGTAGAACAGTAAGGCTATTCTTAAAATGCAAATATCATTATCAAAGCTCACTCATATACGCGAAGGCTCCTCGAAATATAAATCACTTAGCCTAGAATCGACTTTTATCAAATAGCACAATAGGACTTGATCAAATTTCTGCAGGACCAATCAACAAAATAATGCGAATGGAGTCTCTTCTCCTTTTTAAATATGTTGAAAAAATATTGACGTCAATTCGTTTGTTCATATTACTTATCGAATGGTAAATTTAAGTTCTTGTAACTTAACGACAAAATATCGACGTCATTAAATTTAGATTACACGTTTCGGATGAAGAACTCTGGAGAAAGACACTTTTTATTGCAGTCAATCAATATATTCTGGTCACGCGGACGAACAACGATGCCAGAATGAACAGTGGCTGAAAAGCTTTCACTCTGTATGTGGCGTAACTTTTGACGTTATCGAATTGCGATCGCATCGAAATGGCATCTAATAATTGATATACATTAGATGTCTTTTTCGAACATTGGCGGGAATTTATTTCACAAATATACATACAGTTTGAATTCAGATTTTAAGCCAAAGTTTAAACACATAAACAGCAAGTTTAAGCCCTGTCATAATTTTAAGTGTTTATTAGCGTTATTATATTGCAATATTGTCTTGCCTATTACATTTTATATATACACATATTACAAATATGCAAGTATAAGTTATGATTATAACTATCGATTTTGTTTAAGTAACCTACATCAATATTTTATACCTACATTTATAGGTATAAAATAAATCATGAAATCCGATACCATTATGATTGAAATCGCAGAAGGCGTAAAAAGGAAATTCGTTCACCCCGATTCAAGTACCATTCTCACTTGAGCATTTATAGAAATGAAAATGTCCTAGCATAGATCATTATCCTGGCCTCCCATTAGATCGTTATATAGTATTTAGATCGATACCAACCTTTTCATTAGGACATTTGATTTTGCATATTAGTATGATAGGTTCGATATACACACCATAAAGTGATATGAACCTAAACCCGTAGACAAGTTGCCATAAATCGATAAATATCCAGTAGTACAGTATGAATATAGACCGCGATAGCAACATCAAGCGAAATGATCTTTCTAATGTATGCAGTAGCAATAGATTGAGTATTCATAAACATATTCAATTTAATATTCCTTAATTTCGTATATACCTGTATATGACATTTTTGTTCGGATGCCATTTCGAATATAATTATACAAATAAAAATTTTAAATAACTACCGAATAAGAAATACTCAAATTATATATTAACCCTGGACAATTCACACAACGCTATGTAGTCCCAATCTGAATAAAGCTTGTGATGTGGCTACTAAATAACTGAAGTAAATTTTTTTTTTGTAAATACGTATTAAATATACGGTCTGTATCGGTCTGGGTATTTTCTATATAATAATATAATAGAAATCACTCTTTTACTTTTTAAAACCCACAACCATTTTTAATAGAAGTCTAAATAAATGTATCGAATTATGTGAATTTCAAAACATATTTTGTTATTTGTTTATTGTTATGCATATGCGATGTATATGATGATGATATGTATTTTTTACACTATACTATTTTAACTTCAGAATGTAAATGCAAATATGTGAAGTTATTTATTTCCCTCTTATCATCAGAACAGCCGAATGAACTTTAATAAATAGGTATCATTAATTTCGTACAATGTCTTATATTTAAGTATATAATATTATATTTCTGATAAACAAACATGGCCTTCATTTGGCGTAATATTTTTGCAACGTAATGTAATGTTACAAAAGCTATTTATTGACTGAAACGAAAC